TACAGGAAGACTGAATTTGGAACCAGAAACTGAGACCGGAGAACCGAGTGACCAGGTTCTTGAAGGGGGACATACTAGCCGAACCACCGGGTCGCCAACCGGAGGAAAAGGATATGTGCTTTGGAAGCATGTACCAAGAGAAGGGAGACCGTAAGGTACCTAAAGCCTGGGCAAACTGACCCTTCCGAGTTGCCAGCTGGAAGTAAGAGAGAGACCGGTAAGAAATCCAGGAAAGAAGAAAGTTGGAACGTGGGTACTGGGGTTATTGTAAACCTTGCAAGGGTAGGAGTACATAAGTGGGAACTAATTAGGAAGGTTGTGGCTTGAGATATGAACCGGGTTACAGCAGTATCCGAAACGATAGCTTGAGATACGGACTTGGTAGCGGCAGCACAACATGTACTATTTGGAGAAAAGTTACCAAACATGCAGGTGAGTACATATTTGGGACATGTACCATTCTGTTAAGTTTATCACAAGGACAAATGCCTATATATAGCTAAAGTCATAGGGTCTTTATGCGGTATTGCTAATCCCTTAAAGGTGTTAGGGTAAAGCGTGTTATAGCAATGTAAGCCAGAGAATTTAAATGGGTATCCCCCATAGTTAGGTGCAGGTACGGCAGCTAGTGTGGAACCTAGGGCAGACTACTTAATTAAATAACCAAAAGTTGCATATATGGCTAGTCATATTCTCATTAGTTAATAATCAGAGAGCTTAAATAGGTAATCTCCTAATTAGATTGCAGGTATGGCGGCTAGTATAGAACCCAGGCAGACTACTTAAATTAGATACCAAAAGTACACGTGTGGCTAGTTGTATCCTCATGAAATTGATGTAATATCGTATTTATTTAAATAAAGCTAAGTGCCGGGGACCTAAGTGGTCACCTTAATATTAAAAAAAAAAAAAAAAATACTCAGAAATTTTTTTATTTGATCTTATGAATTCACCTTTATTATTATGACTATTTACTGAAGAGATTAAGGAACGGTTAGATTGAAAAAAATTAACTTTGTACAGATTAAAATCTTTTTGAAATAAATTTGATCAAGTACTTTTAATTTTGGTTTTCAGATTCTCAATATCCAAAGTCTTATCAACAGTTACTCTAAAAATATCTTTAAGAGTCTCACTATGAATAAAACAGTTAAGAGTAATATTATCATTGGTCTTGGAGGTGGTGTTATCATTAGTGCTCATTTTTCGTTCCTAAATACAAAAAACATAGTAAGTAAAAAATCATCTTCATAGACTATATTAAACGGTAAATCTATTACTTTAAAAATAAATAGGCAAGTAAACCAAGTAAAAATATATATAAGCAAAAAATATTATTATTACTAACTTAACTTAAGGTGGAAACTTGCTTATTTTTATACTTCTTATTCGTTAGATTTGGAGAACCTGCCAGAACAAAATTACACAATTAGTAATTACATTACCTTAATGAAATACTAGACCACACTTAACAAAGCAACTCTGCTCAGTTATAAGTTCCAAATACTAATCTATTTTGTTATTTTTCTGGTAAAATTAACTCTCCTTAGATTCAACGATTTCTTTTGCAAAATAAAAAAGTCAACAATCTCAACGATCTGTGAAATTTCAAATCCCTATAACATATGAATTTTGACAAAACTACTGATTAAGAATATTATATGTATTACTCTTATAGCCTTTTTAAGTCTCATTCTTATCATGAGATCGTATAAAGTAAGGAAAAGAGTCTAGTCATTATTCGTAATATTCGTTAATAAAAAAATCAACTGTAAAAAATAATTCTGCAGGAAAGTGACACCATATAAAATTTAATGCAAGCTATTGATTATTAAAGCTGGTCAAGGTTTTATTGCTTGTTATTATCATAAAATATAAAAATCTTGAACTTAGTTTATGCTTCGACGGCCTCTGGAAGCTGTCATGAACTTGTGGAACCATTAAGTCATCTAACAGCTGTGAAATTAAATTACCACTACGTGTTGTGTTAAAATGACACATATGATAACTGCTGTTAAGCCACTATTGAAGTGCTGTTAACTTTTTCTTAATAAACATATATAAAATCGCTAAGCTACTGTTGAAGTGCTGTTGAAGTACTGTTGGAATACATAGACGAAATATCAAATTAAGATTTGCTATGTTAAATTTGTATATAGACAAATGTTTATTGAATTTTGAATATTTAGTTTAAAAAATTGTGATCGATTTTTTTGTATACTTGTGTCATACATATGAAAATAAAACACATATATGCTCACAGATATCAATGTATTTAGGAAAAGTTGTATCATATAGCTTATTGTTTTTCATCCTAACGCAAATTAATTTGTACAACCAATATTATGTATCGTAAATATGAATTAAATTAAAATTTTGTCAAAACAAAGTTTAAATATGTTATTTCATTTTTATATCGATTGAAATTTAAATGTGGTGTTTCATCCTATATTAAATATATAATAATGAAATTATAATTATTTTAATCTGGTGATAAATAATTGGGTAATTTTTCACGAAGCAAATTGAATTTTTTTTTGTTTATATTTCTTTGAGTTATTTCTAAAAAGAATAGTTTAAGATATCAATCAACATAGTAATATATATTTATTTATGTAATACATAGTAAATTTTTTGTATATAATTTAAACTATTCTTTTTACATGTTTTGGTATTACAAGAAGATAGATATATCGATTATATATGATTTCTTGTATACATGCCTTTCTGTTAAATAGTTGGGGAAAATAAAAATTTTTTAGCAAATAAAACACTTGTTTTTATTTAAATAAATTCATAACATTGCAATTAAATCAAGTAAATAAATTGATAAATTTGCATTAAACTTTTTTTATTCTTAGAATTAATTATATCTATCCAAAAGCTATCATGCTTGGCAAAGTTTTCATCATCTTCATGCTTCAAGGCATGTTATCAGGAAATGCAGTAACCTTTCAAATACTGGATGTTCTTACCATTTCTTACATCAAGAATAGTCTGAATTTTTATGATGATTGTATTAAATATTTGAAAGATGTAGGAAATTTGATCTCCAGAATGGTGGCTTGTAAAGCATTAAAATGGTCAACAAATGATAATCCGCCCATCTCTTTTTCTGACATGAATGACATAGGTAGTGACTTTGATAAATAGACCAGAAAAAAAGAATATAGAGAATATATCTATATTCCCAGCTTTAATATTAAGTGTAATGCTAAAGATTATCTTGTCACTACTAATCCCCATGATCCTGATTACTGTAATAAAGAAAATCTGACCAAAAATCTAGTACAATGTAACGATACCAAACACAATCCTTATAGATATACTAAAATACCTTCATCAATTAATCCTTCACGTAATCCAATTACTTATAAATATGAATCAGCTAATATTTACACAGAGAACCCCATATTTATTGGGTTTTAATCGAAACCTAAAACATTCAATAATAATGATACTTGCTTAAATATTCTTGATTTTAGAACTAGTTAGTTATCACATGATGCACGATATAAATAGCAGTATATGATAAAAACAGATACACTATTTATTTTTACTTATATTGATATGAAAATTTGTTGTAACTGTCAGGTTTCTGTTACTGTCTCTCGTAGTGTCTTTCCTCAGACCTGTCTTTATGTCGATGGAAAAATGTTTAGTAAGCAAGAACAGACTGATCTTGGTCAGTTTATCCTATATGGAGGCCATCAGTCAGATCCTTCTAAATTATCTAAAGATGGTCATGGGAAAATCGCACCTTCTGGTAAACAGTTAACCTGAAATAAAAAAGTTTAGAAAAATGACCATATACTATATATTTAGCATATTAGGGATTGGAACCGCTTAAAATCTTCTTAACCATTAATCGTTTAACCGTATTAATCGTAAAAATTTAGCTGGCATTAAAATTGTCCTGGCCCATGATAAACATAATTCAGCCCGGCACTATAAAAAATTTTTTTTGCGGTTAAACGGTTCCAATCTCTATAGCATATAAATAGTATTTCATTCTATTTGGTATATGTCGAGGATAGCTTTTATTGCAATTATTTTATAATATATAAGTATTAGATGTATTTTTATCTTTATTTCTGAGTCTTTTTAGAATAATAAATAAAATTACATCTTT